GGAATAATTGTTTTATTAAAAAAAAAAAAAACGCCCCCAATATTATTAGACAAATCTTCTCGACTTTATTTTGTAAGAAGAAACCGGATGTTACAGTGTATAGATATTAGATTATGGTATATTGGCTCATATACCATAATGGCTAAGCCAATAAAAAGTCTTGAACTGCATTATCCAATGATCCAGTTTTTAATAATTGCAGTACTATTCTGACTTGTAACAGACTATGGTTTGAATTTCTGCCCAACCATTTTCAAAAGTGATTGTATCTGTTAGGTAAACATCAATAACTAGTCTCACCTGTAGTTGAGTGTGGTGTTTGCCTTTTGATGCATCACTTCCTGGAACTGAAAGGACTGGAAGGCATTCAAACAACTCCCTGTTGAATATCAGAGATAAGATGAAAACTGTTTAGAAATTAGGGACCTTGAGCACGCAAAACAGAGACACAAAGAAAAAAAACATGACAAATTTCTCTTTTCCCTATGAATCCAAAATGACTGAATGTGTTTTTTCTGTCTCTGACAAAGCCATGATTCAATTTTCTGTCAGGGGTCCTGTTTTCAGACTATAAATTATATGCAAATCTTGGTAATTTATCATTAGGCAAGACACATAGGTGAGATCACTGTAAACAATATTGTGCTTTTTTTTTATCATAACAAAAAAAGTAGATTCCGTGTTGCTGTGTGTCTGTTCAGTAAGGTGACATCAAAATATGGTAAATTCATCAATGACACCCTCAGCTGCACCTTGTGTGTCACTGTTTTGTTCTTACCCATTTTGACATCATCTGGGATCTTTTACTGTAAAGACACACAGAAACATGGAATCTACTTGTTAAATTGCACAGCTTGTTAAGATCGAGTTGCCAAATATTTTCTCTTCTCAAGGTGACCAAACTGAGAAGAGCTTTGAGTGTGCTGTTTAACAATTTTATATCAGATAAAATATTCAATACCCATTTATAGACTTTTGATATACAGTGTACAGTAGATATTTTGCTAAACAGAATGAAAAAAATAATGTTGGTTTTATCAGTTACTGCATAAAAAGATTAAAGTTACCACAATGCCACAGACCTTGAGTAATGGATGTAGTGTTCAAATTCTAAACCTTGTTGTCTCAGGAGTTGACTGTCTGTCACAAGAAGAGGTCCCTCTGGAAGAGAAGTCTTTTGGATCTAAAAAGCACAAACTAAATCATTAGTTTAACAAAGACTTCTTTTTATTATATATGAATAAAGGCTGATAGTTTCGAAAGAAACTGTTTGGGGCTGCGTCGGTGGGAGTAACGAAATAATTTGGATATATCAACAACGTTGAAATGGTAAATTGGCCACCGTAACAATTACAAAAGCCAACGGTGGCCAATTTACCATTTCAACTTTGTTGATATATCCAAATTATTTTTATTATATAGATACTGATGAAATACCAGGATTTCTCCTTTTACTAAAAAATCATATCTTCCCCGCGTGCAGTGAAGATACTATTTTTATCTTTCACGTGTGAGGATATTGGTGTGGCCATGGTTACCAACATAATTACCCAATTGCTGTTTCGAAAGTGAATAAAAAAAAAGTTGTCTTTTATGTGGAAATTTCATCAGTATCTATATAATAAACAGAACATTACATGGCCGCTCGGGGATACGAATTTTATCTCTCACGAGTGAGCGCAGCAAACGAGTGAGTGATACTTTCAGCACTCAAAGATAAAATTCGTATCCCCGCGCAGCCATGTAATATCCTCTATTTGTTATCTTGTAATGAGCATGGGGCAAAAAAGAACAACAACAACAACTGTCAGTTCACATGTTGGAAATTGAACCTCTGACATATGCATTTGCTCTACCACTAAGCCAATCAAAGAGCTCTGATGAGCTTGGCCATGAATTAAGTTCACATGCTACATGTCTTTCTCATGTTATTGGGATCAACAATTTCAAAAGTGTCATGAGTCAACAGAGAAAGAAAAATAGTAAATTTTAGGCTTGATAATGAAATTTTTTATTGATAATGAAGTTTTTATTGCCTTGTAACAAGCATGGGGTAAAAACAAAAATGCTAAGTTCCTAATACGAATCAGACCTCAGATCATTGGACTCAGCACAGTGATGCTCTTCTACAGCAGTTTTCACAT